CCAACACATTCAAAGGTCAGTTGAAACAGAAGGTGAGTAGGTGGAGAGCAAATTCTTATCCATAACAGAGCTTATTCAGGTACCAAAATTAGTTTTAAATCCTGTTTTGGAGCTCTGGAGGGAGTGGAGAGATGGCAAAGGACTGGGAGCTGGATTCAGTGTGTGCTGCAGTATGGGGGACGGCTGTTTTAGCTAAATGCAGTTGTTGAAGGTGCACTCCATTATTTAAGTGGGAAGTTTCCACCAGGTCTGGGCTGTGCCAGGAGAAGCTGTCAGACATTCCAGCTGCAGGGAATGTGGGGCTGTGGCCAGCAGGGCTCTGCTCTGGCCGTGGATCCCAAATTCCAGCTGCAAGGCAGGTCCTGCCCCACCAGGACACAGCTGCCCTCACTGCCCAAAGCACAGATCGTGCAATGAGGAGCAGAAAAAGGTGCTATATGTAATACATGTTATAAAATAATTCGTGCTGAATGAAATTAAAAACCACAGCATCTCGTGCCCTAAAACCAGTGTCAGGCAACAAGCAAGCTAAGTGATAGAAATACAAAATACCAAAAAGACACTGTCTCCAGAAATGTATATTCCAAAGGATTTCTCATCTGACAAGACCCCAGCTGGAGACATTTTTGATAGGCATCATCAGAAGCTTCTCCCAGAGATTTTCACCTGAAGCATTCCAGCAATTTTCCACCAGTTCTGGGAAAAGCACAATAATGTGCTAAAGAAAACCCCTTCCAAAGCCCGAGAGTCTGCACAGAAATGGACCCCTCAGAACTGAGCTTGGAGACCCTCGAGGACTTTGGTGCCATAGAAGCCAAGTCCTGAGTCCCCCAAGCACCGACCCCCTGGCTCAGAGTCAAATCGCTTGTGGCTTTCTTTTTTTCCAAATTTATACTTTGATTATTTAATACATTATTATTTAATAAATTTCCTTAATTCTTAAATTGGCGTTTTCATTTATACAAAGGTGAGTTACATCTCAGTCCTTCCAGAGCTCCCTGCAGAGCTTCCCCACCACACACATCCTGATGCAGAACTTCTGATCCCAAATCTTGTATTAGGCCAAATAACAAAAAAAAGGTTTAGCTGCACTGTAATCTCTCTTTCCAACATCCAGGCATATTGAAAGAGATTATCTTTTGAAAATGGAAGGAAACTGTGTTATTGTAAAGCTCTAATCTCCTCTATCCTTTGTAGGAAATAAGATAAATATCTTGATTTCACTCAGCACAATTACAAGAAGCTTTTCTCTTATCAGCAGCTCTCTGTTCCCTGGAGTGAGGCATTTTTGGAGCTGGGACAAGGCTTCAGCAGCTCTTTGAGGAGCAGGGGTTGGGGGAAGGAGGTTCCTCTGGTATGGGGGGGTAACCTGGGCTTTGTGGAACACCCCCATTCCTGCACCTGAGGGTTCCTCTGCTCCTGGACCCTGCAGCAGATCCCAAATCTCTCCTGCCCAGCCCAAATCTGAGGGACCTCTGATGGTCACAGCTCCCTGTGCCTGCTCAGACCCCTGACAGCCCCAGCCACAGGGAGTGGCACAGAAAGGCTGGCACTGATGCCAAGCTGGAAAACCACGCCAGGGAAGTTGGAACATAAGTTTGGTTGTAAATATTGGCAAAGCTTCATTCAAAAATTAAGAAAGCTCCTTCCAGAAATGACAAAACTCTTTTTTTTTTTTTAGTTGTTACTGAGTCTAATCATCCCCTGTATTTTTAGAGAATCCCTTTCCAGGTTGGCAGCTAATTAAATTTAGGTGAAAACCAAATTGCCTGTTGACTATTTAACAATATTAGCATTTCCAGGCAGCAATCAGATCTCCCCAGCCTGGGCTTGGTCTGGAGCCATTTCTGCTGGCACAGGGAGCTGATCCCTGAGCTGAAACCTCTGGAGAGGAAAACACATCTTGAGCAACCTCTGGCTGCCCTGCCCTGGCCAAAATGGATGAAATATCACTGAAATAATCATTTTTAAATGCCCATCATTTGCTGTGTCTCTCAAGTTGTGCTCAGGAATTTCCCAAACAAGAATTTAGTGGGAATGTGCTTTATCAGCACCTTGGCAAGTGGGGGGAAGTTCTTCCCTGATGGTGCCATGAATAAAGGAACTGCTGGAGAAGGGGCAACACAGACCCCAAAACTCTGCAGGTGCCACCAGCACAAAAACTCCACATTTGCCTCCAAAAAAACCTCCAAAAACGCGCAGTGCAAATCCAGTGTGAAACAGAGAGTCTGGGGGACCGAGGGGAGGGCAGAGCAAGCCCAGAAGATCCACCTGGGGTTCAGGAACTTGTCCTGAGGGAGACAGAAGCTGTCAGAGCTCTGATTCATCTTGCAGGATCATTAAAATCCCCAGGCAGCCAGAAATTTTAACCCTTTCCAACCCCCAGCACTCTGCCTTGGGAAGCTCCGTGGCCTCCTCACCTGCCTTAGTGCCCAGGGAAGGATGAAGAACAGGAGGAGGGAGAACAGGAGGAGATGTTTTACCTGCAAGCCCAGATCCTGAGGGACCTTCTGGGTGCACCAGGAACAGCTCTGAGGGACAACCTCTACGTTTCCTGAGCTGAGCCACAGCTGCAGCCCATGAAATCCCAGCCTCACAGGTGGGGTGGGACCACTGCTCCACCCCCAGCACCATCTGTGCTCTGGGGGAACCCTGGCCGAGAGCCAAACATCACAAACCATCCAAAAACCACCACAAACCATTCAAAATCCACCACAAGCCATCCAAAACCCATCACAAACCATTCAAAAACCATCATAAACCATTCAAAAACCATCATAAACCATTCAAAAAACCACCATGAACCATTCAAAATCCACCACAAGCCATCCAAAACCCATCACAAACCATTCAAAAACCATCATAAATAATTCAAAAACCATTCAAAAACCATAATAAATCATTCAAAAACCATTCAAAAAACCACCACAAACCATTCAAAAATCCACCACAAACCATTCAAAAAACCACCACAAACCATTCAAAAACCATATAAACCATTCAAAAAACCACCACGAACCATTCAAAATCCACCACAAACCATTCAAAAATTCACCCAAAACCATTCAAAAACCATCACAAACCATTCAAAAACCCACACAAACCATTCTATGGTTCCAGGATTCTGTGGTCACTAATCCTTTTGCTCCACAGCAGCTCTGAGCACTTTCCTAGCACCAGGGATTTATTTTTATTCCACGGGATCCGTGGAGCTGTTAAACCTCTAAAAGCTGGAGCCTGAGCTGCTGCACTCCTGTTCCAGTGGCAGCAGGGAGCACTGGGGCTCACTGCAGCTCCAAACCCCCAAGGTGCTTCTTTTCTGCTTTTTCCCACTTTGTTTCTCTTGGCTCATTCAAGAGAAAAATCAGGAAGTGTTTTCCTTTGGAGAAATCCAATTGACATTTGAAGAAGAGCTCTCAGTGCTGGAAAATGAGTGGTAAATAAACCTCTCACCAGAGCTTTCCCTGAAGAGAGCAGTGCAGTGCTCTGAGCACTTCTGAGAGGAAACAGAGCACACCAGGGTGACCTCCCTGACCCACACGTTCCAGAGTTTGTCTGCTCAAATAGATTTCCCCCAAAGCCATCTTCTTTGCTACGGCAAAATTTCACAACTTGTTTTATCCAGAAATTCCAGCAATGCTGACCTGGCTCCCCATCCACTTGTGCTGTACAGGAGTTCAGTGATTCATCGAGGCAGGAGTTTGTTGGTTTGTGTTCAATAAATATCTACTCGTGACAGAAGAAATGCAAACAATCTGTTTCAAGGGGAGCACAGCATTTTTCAGATGATTTTGGCTTTTTTCAGTCTGGTGTTGCACAGAGCCCTGAACGCCCAGAAATCCCCATCTATTTACAGTTCATTATTGTGCTAATTTTTGTCATAGCTGAGTTCAGCACAAGATCTGTCCCTCTTGCCACTGCTCTCCCTGCTGGGGGACAAAAAGCAGCTGTAAAATCCCACTGGAACAACCAGTGGCAGAAACCTTTGGTCCCTTTCCTAAAGAAGATGCAGCAGGCAGCATCCACAGGGTCAAGTTGTTTCCTTCAGACCAAATGATGCCAAAATTCACACACAACTTCTGCATCCTCCCAGCTCTTTCCTGGGCACACCTGCTGTTCCCTACAAACCCAGGCTGTCTGAGCACCTCAGGATTGCTTTTGCCCCATCCCTTTCTAAGCACTGACACCACCAAGATATTGCAAAATGAAAGCAATCCTGTACAAACTCCTCTTGCTGGTGGCTGCAGGCTCTGGCAGCCCTGGGCTGATGCCTTCAGTTTGAGATTTCACATTTTCCAGGCTCTGTACTGCGTTGGTACAGAACTCTGAACTCCATGTAAAATGTCAGCAAGTTCTCATAGCTCAGGCACACAGAAAAATCCTTCTCCAGCCCAGAACCAGCTCAGGCACACTGAACAATCCTGAACCAGCCCAGAACCAGCTCAGCACACTGAACAATCCTGAACCAGCCC